GTCAGAGCTGTAGCCAAGCCTCTAAAACAAGCAACACGGTACCTGAGAGGTAGAAAAACACTGTGGCTGAGGGAGTAGAGTCCAACTGCAGTGGAGCAGCCCCGGGTTGGAATCCTAGCTCCGTCCTCTGCTTTCACAAATGCATAATATGACTAACAAAATATCGACCCCACAGGACTATTGTGAAGGGGCATAGCGTGGAAGGTAAACCCTTCATATGTGTCAGTGCTAAGTTTTTATTCCAGAGACTTGATAAAGTCCTCTGTTTCTGTTTCAGGAGGGAGAGCACAAGAACCACCCCCATTAAGAGCCTTCCCATTTCTCCTGTCAAGGCTCTACTGGAGTTCCTGCACTCTGAGGCAGGGGTGGTACATGGCTTACAAGCATGGCCTCTGGGGTTTGTACCCATTTACCAGCTGACTCCCTTGCCCCATTTAGGGTTCAGAGGGCCCCCATTTTGGGTTGTTCATCTGTGAAATGAGGATTATCAGAAAAAATATTACCCATCTTAGAGGGTTATCATGAGGATCAAACCAGGCAATACATGAAAAATGCACGCAACAGTGCCTGAAATATAATAAATGTACAGAAAACATTAGTCATTACAATCCTCCCCACAGGTGATATATTCCAAATTTTTAGGACACAGAGAACGACAAAAATTATAGTTGACCCTTGAACAACATGGGTTTGAACTGCAAGAATCTACTTATATGTGGATTTTTTATAATACAGTACCATGAATGTATTTTCTCTTCCTTATGATTTTAACTTTTTTCCTCTAGCTTACTTTATTATATAAAAACAGTATATAATACATATAACATAAAAAATATCTTGACTATGTTATTGGTAAGGCTTCTGATCAATCAGTAAAGTTCTGGAGGAGTTATACGTTGATTTTTTGACTATGGAGTGTGGGGGAATCAGCAGCCCTGCCCTTATGTTGCTCAAGAGTCAAATATATTCTAGAACACCATAATGTTAGATTTGAAAGGACTCTCAGGAATTATCTCTAGTTCAACACTCTCATTCAATAAGGAGTCCCCAGGGAAGACCAGAGCTGGCTACATGGTCTGACTAGCATTAAATCCCAGCCTCCTGATTCATCCAGTGCTCACAACACACCACCATACTTCCTGTTCTTAATGAAAACATGGATCCCTGGGTGGCGCAGCGGTTTAGCGCCTGCCTTTGGCCCAGGGCGCGATCCTGGAGACCAGGGATTGAGTCCCACGTCGGGCTCCCGGTGCATGGAGCCTGCTTCTCTCTCTGCCTCTCTCTCTCTCTCTCTGTGTGACTATCATAAATGAATAATAATTAAAAAAAAGTTAAAAAAAAAAAAAAGAAAACAGTACGGTCATTCAGTCTCTCCTCCATATAAACCAACAGACCATCTCCTGGAAGCATTTGGGAAGAAATCTTAACTCATCAGAATTTTCAGGAACCACTGCTTCAGGTAGCACATTTTGGGTACATGGGCTCTAATTTATTTCCCAAGAATCCATACCCAAGAGACACAAAAAACAAAAGTTTGAAACATTATTAATTCCTTTCAGGAACAATGAAATATTCCTCCTTGGGAGGGCATAATAATAAATATTAACTAAATTTAGCTTTCTAAGTTTCCAACACAATATTAAGTGCCTTTCATTTTTCCACTGAATCCTCACAACACAGACCTCCTTCCTCAGGATGGCACTCCTAGAACCTCCTGCCCACAGTAAAGATGTTAGTGTCTGCAGCTGCTTGCCTACTTGTCTTGACAGTCTTCAGACTATAAGCTGAAAAGACAGGGATCTCAATGATCAGGTGTCTCATTCATTTCTTCTTCCAACAAATATTCCTGAGCATAAATGAGACAGAAATGGTCCTGGCGTACTGGGGCTTTCTTACAAAGTGACCCTCAACGTTGCTTCCATGGGGGTCCTTCCCCTTGAACATGTCCTTGCAGTGGAAGTGATGCTATGCTTTGTAAGGCGAGATAAAAATGCAATGCACTTCCACCTTGTTCTCTTGGAGCAGGCACTCTTAGAATCCAGCTGTCATGCTGTGAGGAAGCCCACATCTTGCCCATGAAAAAAAAAAAAACCACATGGAGAAGCCACTTGCTCAGCTGAGGCCCCAGACATGGAACCAAGGGATCTACCTTCCCCACTGTGCCTTGTTTGAATTCCTGACCCTCAGAATCATGAGAATAAAATGACTTCTTTACACCACTAAATTGGGGGGTGGTTTATTATGCAGCAATGGCAACTGAAACAACCACACATAGTTCACGTCTAACAAGGAATAAAGATACTAAATAGGTGACTCCAAGGTACTGCCTACACCTAACAGTAACTGGAACACATTTTTTGTTGAGTGTCCAAGGTAGTTATTATTATGCCCATTTTGCAGATGAGGAACTGAGCTTTGGGAGGTTTAACAACTTGCCTTAAGTTTCTCAGCTGGTCAACAGCAGAATAAAGTCAAACTCAAATCTATACCCACACTCCTAACACCATATTCTGTCTCCCCCGGTACTTACAATTTTGTGCTAAGTATACAGTAATCTGTTTCAAACTGGGATTGTCAGTATTGAAAACATTCTGGCCCAGTAGAATCCACTGTGCAGTTTCATCACTGAGATGGAAACCCACATACCACCTTCTTTGACCTTCCTGGCTCATGTAATGCTAGATCCCTCATTCTCCCTAGCTATTCCACTCCATCAGTTTCCTTTCCTTCATAGCACTTCTCTAGCTGAAATTTTCTTGCTTCCTAATTTGTTCTTATTCATGTGTCCATGTATCTCTGACTTGAATACAAGCTCTGTGAGAGCAGGAACCTTATCCATCCTGTTCACTGTTTTATCCCTAGTGCCTAGGGCAGGGCCTGGAATATGACAGGGGACCAAAAATTGATTATTTACTGAAGGAGTGACTGCATTCAGGCACACTGAATGTCCTCCCAACTCATCACCTACTAATACGTACGCAAACAGGGAGGATAAAGCAGAATTTAAAACAGGACTGTATCAGAATCATTCTATCCAGTAAGGTCAGTACAAAAAAATGGAAGGAAAGGGGGATCCATGCTACCACTCTTCCACTTAAAAAAGCATAAACCCCAAGTTCCAAAGAAGGTGTAGGTAAAGGGATGGAGAAGGGGGTCACACCTCCTATCCCCCATTCATAACCACTGTCCCCTCAGTCCCCCAAAAAAAGTTCAGTTTCTTCAGACACATTGTCTGAAGCACACCAAGGACAACTCGCTGGTGATCCTCTAACATCAGGCCCTCTATCCTTCCTGGCCTTTCTTTATATACCAGTCATGCCATCCTGGAATGCAGGTCCTATTCTCCCTAAGGCACAGAGGGGGCAATGACCAGCTCTTCAGAGAAGAGGTGAGAAGGGTGATGTAAAACCAGGGAGAGGATCTCTGCATATGCAGGTCCAGAGGCCCTATGCCGCCCAGCAGGGACGGGGACTGACTGTTCCTAAGGACCTTCCCAGTGCTAAGCACCGATGCTGGACTCTTAGACATGCTTTCCCTGATTTAAAGGCCATTCCTTACTCCCAACCCAAGAATTTAGGGAGGCCTCAAGCACAACTTCCCCATCTCAACCTTCCCCGGACCCGCTACTCCCTAACCCCGAGAAATCCTCAAAATCCAGGAGCGGTTAAGGAGGAAGAAAGAAACCCGGCGTGGCCTCGGAGACAGAAGGGGCGCAGGGCCGTGTGAGCACAAGTCGGGGGTTGGGCGGGCCGGGCCCAGGGTGAGTAAAGGTTAAGACAGGAAGTTGGTCTGACCCTTTCCGAGCCCGATGTGTCCATCAGAAGAGGTGACCAGCAGCAGGAGACCGAAGCCCAGCGCACAGGTGGCCCCGAGGTGAGGCCGCAGCTCCATGGCGACAGTGCGCGGGGCCGCGTCCCCGCCAAGGCCCGCGCCTCCCCGAGCGCGGCTCAGCCGCACCCCTCGCGCCCCAGAGTTTCTAGCTCCGTGACCCTGAGGAAGTGATGTCGGACGGATGTGGGTGGGGCCTCCGGGGTCCGCGTGACACGGGTAAGTTTAAAGGTGCAGATCACGCTGCTCGGTGGTGGGGGAGGGGGGCTTTCCGGCGGCAGGGCGAGAGGGCGGGGGCGGCGGCGGGGACGGCCGGGGCGGGGCGGCTGCCTGCGAGCTGCCCCGCACCCAAGAACCGCGGCCCTGAACACTCACAACGCAGATCACTGATCGGTGGGGTCAGCCGCTCCGAACAGTGGGCTCGTTGCCCATGGCCTCCCCTTTCCTGCTCCGCAAGTAAAAAACGTAGACGACCGGATTTCATTCTTCAATTCCTGCGGCCACGAGGAGACCTGGCAAGCCTGTTCTGCAGCGCGTGGTCTCGTGCCTTGCAAGAATGCCCTCTTCTGCTGGAGAAGCAGCGCTGGACCTTATTTTTCCCCGCGGCCGCATCACTCACGGGTGATGCAACGAACTGGTGCAAGCTCCGGGAAAACCAAACTTCGGATTATTGCAAAACCGACCTAGCTTTTCATAGAACCAGGACAAAAGTCACTGCAGGCATTTAGATCGTAAAGTTTCATCTAGTCAAACCTAATTGTTTTGTCGTGCTTAAACTTTGTGGGTTGACTATTTCCTTCTCAATTGTTTTTTTTTACACGACCAACAGGTCAAAATTTCCCGTCTCCTCCCTGAGTGGAGACTAGTTGAGTCTTCATACTAGTGAGTCCGCACTAGTTGAGTTCAACAGTGCGGAGTTAATGCTCAGTGAAAGCTCTGCGATAAAGTACACACCCAAACAAAAACGCACACTTCTCTTCCGTTGGGATCCCTACCAATCTGTAGGCACCGACACAATGGAATGGAAGGGGGACTGCAAGCTCCAGAATGCAGTGCGGCCACCTGCGCCTGCCGCGCTTCTAGTGGGAGGCGCAGAGCACCCTGGGTTGTGTAGTCCCTGTCTGCGCTCCCCGGGATAGGCTGCCCCGGTGAGAGAGGGAGGCGGAGCCGGGCGTGTCACGTGGGCCCCGCTCCCGCCGTCGCTCCTGCCGTCGTCTTTCTCTGTCTCGACTGAGGCAGCCATCTTGCTCTTGCCGCGTGTTGTTGTTGGAGGACCCTCCCTGCTTCAGGTGAGACCCCCGGCGGTCCCGCCACTCCACGGCCATAGGCCGCTGCGCACGGTCTCCCCCCGCCCTCTTCTTCCGACACCCGCCAACCACTCGGGCTGCCACTTCCGCCGCGGCAGCCGAGTGGGGGCGGAGGCGGCTGGTTGGGATTGTCGGTTACCGGCGGCGCAGCTGGGGGTCGGCACCTGAGGGAAGGTCCCCAGCAGGCACCGCCCCTGTGGGGCGAGCGGGCCCGCGCTGCTGCCGCCCGGATTTTGCCCCAGGAGCGGGGGTCTCCCGCCTCTCTCTTGTTCCTCTTCTTTATTCACAACAACAATGCTGTGACGACAGCCTCTTTTGTCATCTCCTTGATCCTCCCACTCTCCTGCTAGGGAGACTGAGGTCAGCGGCCCCTTCCCCCAGGCGCTTGGGACTGAAGCCGTCGCTGCGCCTTCCCCTCCCGATGGCAGTGTTTGTTTACGGTTGCGCTTCCCTGCGCGAGGCTGCCGGCCGCCTCGAGGGCCCCGCCACGCTGCCGACGCGTAGTGGACTGTCGGGAGCTGGACTGGCCGCGCGCGCCCCGGCCCCCGGCTGGTGAATGGCGGCGTCCGCCTCCGTGCCCACGTCCTGCACCACACGTTGCTGGAGGGCAACGATAGCTCCCCGCGTGAGTCTCCTGCGAGCCGTACCTTGCGCCTAGTACTGACCTTTGACCCCGAAGCGAGCTGTAGACCGTGTGGTGGTAAAGCTTTTCGGACCAGAAGGAATACAAGTTCAGAAATAAACTACCTCTCTGAAGCCCTAATTGGTAGAACCTTGATCCTTCTGCTTCCAAAACTTGTGCCTCTCTTAGAGAAACTCCACATAATAAAAAGTCGGGACTAAAGGTTGAAATGATTGTCTCTCTATGTAAACAGGTGAAAGTGCCCGCCGTATTGCTGGGAACGTAGGCACTCAGTAACTATCGATTATAACCTCATTATTTACCCCTTTCTCGAGTCCTTGAATAAAGGGCTGAAACATCCTGGGATCCCCAAGGAAGAATTGAGTCGTTTATGTTCTTAGGAAGTGACTTCTCCCTTTTGGACCCTCATTTCCAAATCTATTAGGAGAAAGGTGAACTATTTGATTTGTTTATGATTTATTTATACCCTGTTGCTTGCAGGTATTTGAGATGGCTTCACATACAAGACAGGAATAATGGGTATAATGAAGTGAAGGTTGCTTGAGGAATAGGAAATGAAACCAGGTGATCTTTGAGGTCTAGTCCACATTCTGAGCTTGGCATTTCATCCCTCAAACACCAAATCCAATCCTCTTTTCTCCTTCAGTTCCACACACCCCAACCTGCTAGTAGACAAAGGACTACTTTCTTCCTCCCCTGCCTCCTTGAGTTTACGACTTCTCTAAAATGCTTTTTTCTCAGATAATTCTTGGGAAGAAGTTTTCTGTTGTACTAATTACATGGAATGGAATCTGTTCTTTCATCTACATATTGGTATAAACGGTTAATTTTCGTTTTTTGTTTTTTTCCAAACAAGTCAAGACTCTTCATCTTGACTTCAATCTCTTGTCTTCGATCTCTTCTCTTGGAGATTGTTATTTCAAAATGCAGAAAAGTCCCAGAAAGTTTACCCTGTGTCTGGTTCTAATATTTTCACTTAGCCCCTTTTTTTGTAGAAAGTTCCTTAGGCTCTTTGTTAGTTCTCTATATTATCATGGCCACGTTCCTTTGGGAAAAAGTGAGTATTTGTCCTTTTCTGTGGATACTGAGTATAGACATTGGGATTTGCCTCAGCAAACTTAAGTCTGTGGCAGAGTTGAGACTGGCACACACCTAAGCCTGGCTTTGTATTCCTTCTGTAAAGGAGTGTTTTTAGCTGTTTGAGCATTGTGATACAATGCTGGGCAAAGATTGAGGAATCCTATATTCTGAATGTTATTTGGGAACTAGACTTTACTTTATTTAAAGTATATATATGTGTGTGTGTGTGTGTGTGTGTGTGTGTGTGTATATATATATACACAGATTAGTGCTAAAGTGCAGTATCAGAATACAGAATAGTGCTTATATAACTTTGATTCTCTTTCATCTCTCAAATGAAGACATCTTTTTCATGTGAATGATAATTATAAAGAGATTAGAGAATTGGCTAGAAAAGGTTTGATAACAGCCTTTATTTCCTCTTTCACATCTTACTAACATGTTGGTCCACAGAACAAGTAAAACAAGGCTTTTAACCTTGGCTTTTATTTGTTTATACAGTGTGGAATGTTACAACCCATTATAAACTTAAGAACCTTTTTTCCTTAATAGGAATATCACCAGATTAGGATTTATGATTTTACAATTTTCTTTGAATTTCCAAAATCAAAATTAGCCTTAAAAAAGTTTATTTTTAAGAATATCCTTGCCCCTAAAGACACACAAAAATTTTAGAAGTAAAGTAGTAGAGATGTTTTTATCAAATTGTGCAAGGAGGCATTTTACCATGTATGCAAGAATATCTTGACAAGTGTGACATACTATATCAGTGCAAGGTATTGAATGAACTCTGTGGAAAGGGTTGCTAAACTGCTGAATGTCTGAAAATCTGGCTCTCTTTTCCTGTTATTAACATACCATCTGACCTTGAAGATATGGTACCTCATATCTTGACAGCTAGAGAGCCTTTGTTGAATTTTTTCTTTGGCTTTTGGTGGGTGGTTTCTGTTTATGGTTACAAACTTATTTATGGTTCATTTATGATTTGGGAGAAAAAGTCTACTTAAAGGTTGTGCTAATAACATTTGGTAAATGCTGTCTACTGTAAAAATCTCTGGGGTAAGAAAACTGGCTTTGTCTAGAGATTTTATAACTGGGTAGGTTTTGCTGAATGCTAAAGAATTGAATTTTGTTTTTAAGGAAGGATCTTCAAATACGTAACTTGGAGTCCCTTTCTATTTTCTGTTTGTATATTAGACACCCTGGTGGTCCTGTTTAATTTTGGTTCTCTTAATATCTGGTTTATGAAGCCAGAACAAGTTATTAATATTTATTATTAAGAATATAGAGAGTATTAATATCATGGTGGTGATGCATATTGCAAGCCTAGTGAACCAGAAGGTACTGTTGCATAAACAGTTATTTTATTTTGGTAAAACAGTGACTTTAACAAATCTATTTTTCCCCCCCTAGATTTACCAACAGCATGAATCAAGAAAAGTTAGCCAAACTTCAGGCTCAGGTCCGGATAGGGGGCAAGGTGAGTGTGGCATAAGAAAAATTTAGAGGAGACTGTATTATTACTAGATAGTAGTATTATTTTGGATTTGTGGTCATTGAAAATCTAAAGTCATTTCAATAATCAAGATCAAACCACATTCCAATTTGAAAATAACTTGTGTAGTTTGAAAATAGGTAACTAGAAGACTTCTCTGTCTGGTGGTACAATGGAAATAGCCACCTTTGTTTGAATCCTCTTAACATTTGGTAGTTATGTGACATGAACAAGTTATCCAACCTTGTTAGGCCTCCATCTTCCCATCTGCAAAACAGAAATAATCCTGCATAAGATGCTTCCGAGGATTAGAGTAATACTTATAAAACACCCAACATAGTGTCTGGCACAGAGTATATACTTAATAAATGATAGCTGGAACGCCTGGGTGGCTCAGCGGTTGGTGCCTGCCTTCAGCTCGGGGCGTGATTCTGGAGTCCCGGGATCGAGTCTCACATCGGGCTCCCTGCGTGGAGCCTGCTTTTCCCTCTGCCTGTGTCTCTGCCTCTCTCTCTGTGTGTGTCTCATGAATAAATAAAATCTTTAAAAAAAAAATGATAGCTGTTATTATGTTAGACTCATTTGCAGGGCATCATCTTGACTGGATACACCAACTTCTACAGTTAGGTTTATTAGGTTTAACTGGAAATGCTCAAGCTAATTGTACATTCTGTTCATTGCTAGATTTTCCTCCCAAATTCCTGCCTATTCTTCTGTGTTGGTCAATATGAGCACAAACATTCTTATTCCATGTACTTTGAAGCCTAAGGAAGAGCTAATTCTGAGAATCTTTGATTCCCTTTAGCTCTAGCCCCTGGCTCAAGGAGAATGCCCCGCCCTTATCTCTGCCCAGTACAATCTTCGTAAAAGGAAAAGCAAGAATGGTACTCAGCTCAGACCTGGGCAGTGAGTAGGTAGGATACTACCTACCTAGAGAAGTGTAGCTTCTCTACTTTTCATTTACTTTGATGATAACCATATCTATGGAGATAGAAAGGGAAAGGGAGAGGTGACTAGCACTTTCTCCTTCCATAGCTATACAGTTATAGGACTCCGGAGTCATAGTAACATGTTCATGTAACCAAAGTAGTCACATTGTAGCATCAAGCATAATGTAATGTACCAATGCAAAAACTTGGGATATTCAGAAACCATAGAATATACCTGGAAGAGCTTGATTCAGCACATTATTAGATATTTTAAACCAGGTGGTTGGCACATTCATTCATTTAACTAGTTTACTGAACACCTACTATGTGCTGGTCAAGGTTTTCTTCTGACATAGTTCAGCTTGAAAAAGAGACATGCTCACAATTACACCATAGAATAGTAAATGTTAGAATGAGATACAAGGTGCTCTTGCCTAGGAGTGACAATGAAGTCAGCACTGAGCTGAGTTTTGAACGAACAAGAATTTATTATTATTAGGTAGATAGATGAGGGTAAATGGGTAGAGTGAAAAGGGGATCATCATTCTCAAGCATGCTAAGACACCTAAGATGCAGATAGCATGGCACTTAATGGAATGGTTTGCTTTAGTTCGGTACAGTTAAGAGTTTAGACTATATAACGGATACAGAATGGTAAGAAATGAGACAACTAGGTAATTTGGGGTTGTACCATAGTCTTATATGCCTTATTAAGGGGCTTAGGATTTTATCCTATATGCAATGGACATCTATTGAAAGATTTTTAAGAACAGTCATTTTAGAAAGGTAGGTGCTGGCAACGTGGAAAATGGAGTAAAATGGAAGTTTGGCATAGAGAACAATTCAGAGGCTGCTACTATAGTATATGGAACACAAATTTAGGAGGTGGAATCAACATAACTCATGAGAGGAGAAAGAAAGTCTGGGATGACCCTCAGACTTCTGGTTTTAAAGACCAAGTATATGGTGGTACCATCAGCTGAAAAACTTAGGAAGTAGAGGAAAAACAGTTTGGTGGGCTGATGAGCTTTCAGACATACTAAATTTGAGGTACCTGAGGATCATTTCATTTGAGGTATACAGCAAGCAACTGAGCTGTTCCTGAGTTAAGAACATTTTACGAATAAATGACCAGCTATGAAAATAGTCCCTCGTCCATCCTCCAGCAACTGGGTTTTGCTACAACCTCTGCTGCTACTCCCAGGATTCTCTTCCACTCCCACCCGCGTTGCTGAGACTGAAGCCCCTGCCTTCTCTATAAAGCTGATCCCCTGAGTCCTGCAGGAACTACCCAGAGATGGAAACCTCTCCTTTCCCCTTACTCTGCCAGGTCTCAGGAAGTTTTAGCCCTCAAGACTTAGGCTTCTTTTGGTAATGTTTTATTTCTGTGTTATAGATTACGTTTTTTTTTAAATTGGCCCAGGAATTTAATCCATTTTTTTAGCTTTTCAATGGAAATACATATTTAAAGTTTTGAAGTATCTGTTTAGAAATATCTCAACAAATAGTATAGTTGTCAACCTATTTGCTCAGGCCAGTATTCTAAACATCATTCCAGATTCCTTTTTTCCTCATACCCCGTGTCCAATCCATCAGCATGTTGGTTCTTCTGACAGTCTAAGCTCTCACCATCTCCACTGCCAGATTTCTCTTCTCTCGTCAAACTGCTGCAGTAGCTGCCTGATTGATCTCATTATAGTTCACTTTCCACAGCCACTTAAGTCTATAACAATCATAAATGAGGTCAAATCATTTTCATGCTTAAAACCTTCCTATTACAACTGTAATAAAATCCGATTCCTGCCCATGGCATTCTAAGCTACATGATTCGGCCCTTGCCTATCTTTCTGATTTCACTTTCCTCCTCCTTCCCTTTTGTTCACTCTGCTGTAGCCACGACTGACCTGCTTTCTCGGTAGAAACAATAGGTTCACTCTTATTTCATTCTACTTGGATCGCTCTTCCCCTAGATCTTCCCATGGGTCTCAGCATATAATGTCAACTCTTCAGAGGGCTTTCCCTGAACATTCTAATAAAGTAGTGCTTTGCCCCCACCTAATACGTATTCTTATTACTGTGTTGGGGTTTTTTTCCCTTAATGCCTTTAGCCCATTTGAATGGTTCTGTTTATTATTGACTTTTCCCCTCGCACTATAATGTATCCTCCTTAAAGTAAGAACTTGATTTTTTTCATTCCTAGATTCTAGGAATGTAGAACACTCATATAGTAGATATTTAATTCTTAATTATGTCAGAATCTTCAGTTTCAGAATATCTTTAGACAACTTTATTATCAGGGTGGTAGCTATGATTAAAAAAAAAAGCATGTTTGGAAGTTGTTACAAAACACACAATTGCTATATTGTATTTTTTTTATTAGAAAACTTTTGAAACATTGAAATGATAAATGGATACTGGAAAAAATAACTGGCTAGAACTGACCCTCAAAAATCTGGGTTAAGCTAACAATCACAACTCTGAGCAGTCTTCTTAGTCATTACTATTAAGTAAGCAATTTCTTACATGAGTTTTAATTAGAGTATCGTGAATAGGAAGACATGTGACTGCAATTGCCAAATGCAAGGCATCCTAATACTTCTGCTTGTTTATTTTTCAGGGTACAGCTCGCAGAAAGAAGAAGGTGGTACATAGAACAGCTACAGCTGATGACAAAAAACTTCAGAGTTCTCTAAAAAAACTGGCTGTGAATAATATAGCTGGTATTGAAGAGGTATGATCGTTTTGTAAATTGTTAAATTATGTGGACAAACAGTACATTCATAAATAATGATCTACACTTTTCAAATGTAAAATATCAGCTTAGAAACTCAGATATTGTCACTCAGGTGTCTTTGAAGGACTAGGTGTTGAATTTGCTTATTGTATAAAACTGGATGATTGTAAAAAAAATAATTTTAGTTGACAAATAAGGAATTCATCATACTTTTGTGACTCAGAGTGTTTGCATATGTGACAATATGTGACAAAATTATGAAACTGCTCTTGAATTTTCATGCAAAATAAGATATTTTTTTAATAGTATAAAATAAACTCCAAGATTTCTTCAAATTAGGTGGATTTTTTTCTCTTTCTGCTCAACGGCATCTCTTTATTACCTCAGCCAAGAAGCTCTAGCATTAGTTTTACATGGATTGGATTTCATGTTAGACCTTTTCCAGAAATTATTGGTTAAAATTTTTTAATCATCTTATGATATTCTGATGATACTGCTCTTCTCAAATACAAAGCCAAAGACTGATGTTATTAAAAAAGATACTCAAGAAAAATGATAACATCAGCTATTTATTATCTGTTACCATCTAAATTCACTTCTACCTGCTGATTCCATTTCGGAGTAACCATAATGTTTAAATTTCCACTGCCATAAATTAAATTGGATGTTTAAATTATATTTAATCATATCATTACTATGTGTGGTACCATCTCACATTTTTTAACAGATCTTTTAATGCACATGTGCTATAAAACAAATAATGTGGAGGCAAGGATCACTAATAGCAGAGTACCAAAGAAAAGGCAGTGAAATGGCCACATGTTCCTTCTACTGTGCATATATGAATAAATAAAATACATCATTTAAAACTGCTTTGTACTTTCAAAATTAGTATGCCAATAAAATAGTAGAAAATGTTAGCCACATGTATCTTTTTTTCCTTTCAGCTTGATGTGCTTGTGCATTCTTACTCTGATAAAGATTAGAACTTCATTTGCAAGTCTTGAAATTAAGCATTTTATATCCATTTTTTTCTTCTGTGTTATTGAAAACTTATATATATTTTTATTGATCTAAAATAATTTTCAGAGAGATCATTATTTTTATCGGGGGTGAATATGAAGGGGGAAAATCTAAGCCTCCTTTAAATCTGAGGCTTGGAAAAAAAAATAATAAGTTGCAATAATAGACAATAGCTGATAATGTTAAACCTAAACAACTTATAAGTGTTTTGGCAATCTTATATCTTTGCCTACATTTCTACTCTCTGACTTTCCCCCCTCCCCCAGCCCTCCCTGTCACCTAAGCACTATTGACATTTTGAACAAGATAGCTCTTTATTGTGGGAACTGTCCTGTGCATTGTAGGATGTTTAGCAGCATTCCTACTCTCTACCCAGTAGATACCAGTTGCCTCCATTTACCCCCCAGTTATGACAACCAAAAATGTTCTCAGACTATCACATGCTCCCTGGGGAACAAAGTCAACCTTGGTTGAAAAACACCTCTTTAGAGAGAGGAAAAGATTCTATTTATGCCTTCTTGAAGTACAGGTTTAACTATGTAATATCTCCAAGAGCATGTTTTTCTAAATGTTTAATTTTGTTCAGATTTGAGACACCTTCTGGTTCTTAGAATTAATAAAATTCTTGTGGTCAGATAGCATTTTATAAGTGTTTTATAATAAAATAAGGAAACCAATCAGTTAACAGTCTTTTATCTTTTCAGAATGTAGCCAAACTTGTTACAGTGCTATGCTGAGGTGATGGTAATTTTGTAGTTGAAATTGTCCTAATAAAATAATGATAGTCAGCACTTAATGGACATTTACTGTGTGCCAAGCATTTTGCCAAGGATTTGTTAGGTGTTGTTCAAAAGTTATTATTCATAGTCTCTGTTCTTTGGAGCTTACAGTCTAGTCTAGTAGGGAAACTAATTAGATAACTAGACAAATATCTGTTATCCCATTTCAGATTCACAATCTCTTTGAATCAGTTGTTATTGGTTACAGAGGAGAAAGCTGAGACAGAGAATTAGGTACCTGCCCAAGCTAGTAAGTGCTGGAATCTAAATTTGAACTGAAGTATGTCAAAACTAGATGTCAATTCTGTTCATCAATTTATCCTGCTTTTTGGTCTTTTTAGTTGCACTTTCTTATATCCTCTCTTGGCCTTTCCTCTCCTCCTGCTCCCCTCCTTCATCCCTCAAGCCCCCCAAAGAAAGAATCTGCCTTATATCCTATATTATTGAACACCTACCCTGCAGAATTTATTAGTTACACCATTACAGATAAAAGCAATCCCTACCAGGGGCGCCTGAGTGGCTCAGCATTTGAGCATCTGCCTTTGGCTCAGGGCATGATCCCGGGGTCCTGGGATTGAGTCCCACATCGGGGTCCCTCTGGAGAGCCTGATTCTCCCTTTGCCTTATGTCTCTACCTCTCTCTCGTGTCTCTTATGAATAAATAAACAAAATCTTAAAAAAAAAAAAAAAGGCAACCCTTACCACTATTTCCAAGGACATTGATGTTCCTCTTTTTTCAGGTATTTAATGTAGGCATGATTCTCCCAGATAGCACACATACACATTTTGTATGAAGAAGGGTCAGATGCCTTTCCTATGTGCCTTCATAATGCCCTGTATTTTTTTTATAGCATTTATTAAACTGGTGTGAATTCTTCTTTGTTGGTACCATTGATGGTCGTCCTAAACTTTAAGGAGTTGTAACTCCAAAACATCGCACAGAAAATTAATGCTACAGGGGCGCCTGGTTGGCCCAGTTGCTTAAGCATCTGACTTCAGCTCAGGTCGTGATCTCAGAGTCCTGGGACCAAGCCCCACATCGGGCTCCCCCTCCCTCAGCAAGGAGTCTGTCCCTCCTGCTCATTCTCTCTCTCCCTCCCAAATAAAGAAATAAATCTTCAGGAAAAAAAAAAAAAGGAAAATTAATGCTACATAACAAGCACATATACACTCTCATTACACCCCAACTCTGTATGAGATGTCTTCCAGTCCTCACAGACCAATTATACAGAGAAGATACGCATAAAGATAATTAACAATGCAAGGTAACAGCTATACAATTTTTGAATATTTGAACCTAAGATGGGAAACAGTTTCACTTTTTTTCCTTCTTTCCCTGTTTCTAAAATTGGTATTTTGAGGACTCAGATATTTGTACTTTATATAACACTTTGCAGATTTTGTGTAGGAATATCTTGTATACTATATATAACGTGGCTTGCCTCAAACATGTTTTGTGTTACTAAGTTTAGAGTTTTTTTCAAAAATTTTTTAAAGAAAATGATGACACATGCTTGGTTTAAAAACAGCTCTTTGGAGGGAGAAAAGAAACTACTGCATTAAATGTAAACATGAAAATATATATGTACAGAAGTTTTCAGAAACACTAAGGATGTGAAAAAATATATCTTAGAAGAAACACGTTAATTACAATTTGTTATTTTTTATTTGGAATGTTTGAAACTTCTTGCAAAGTGCTGAACTCAGGGTCTGGGTGGCTCAGTGCTTAAGCATCTGCGTTTGGCTCAGATCATAATCCTAGGGTCCTGGGATTGAGCCCTACATTGGGCTCCCTGCTTAGCAGGTAGTCTCCTTGTCCCTCTCCTCTTCACTGGAGCTTTCTCTCGCTATCTCTGTCACTGTCTCTCTGACTCTCTCAAATAAATAAATAAAATCTTAAAAAAAGGGATCCCTGGGTGGCGCAGCGGTTTGGCGCCTGCCTTTGGCCCAGGGCGCGATCCTGGAGACCCGGGATCGAGTCCCACATTGGGCTCCCGGTGCATGGAGCCTGCTTCTCCCTCTGCCTATGTCTCTGCCTCTCTCTCTTTCTCTCTCTGTGACTATCATAAATAAATAATAATTTTAAAAAAAATTAAAAAAAAATCTTAAAAAAAAAAACACAAAGTGCTGAACTTTGGGGCACCTGGCTCACTTAATCAGTAGAGCAGGGGACTCTTGATCTTAGGATCATGAGTTTGAGCCCCACATTGGGTGTAAAGTTTATTTATTTACTTATTTATTTATTTTAAAAGATTATTTATTTGTTTATTCATGAGAGACACAGAGAGAGAGGCAGGCTCCACGCGGGGAGCCCGACGTGGGACTCGATCCCGGGTTTCCAGCCCAACGTGGGACTCGATCCCGGGTCTCCAGGATCACACCCTGGGCTGAAGGCGGTGCTAAACTGCTGAGCCACCAGGGTGCCTCATAACTAAATTTTTAAAAATGTTTTATATTCTATGACATTTGAAGGTATTTGGATATGCTTCTTATTTGGTAATCTAGTTGAATATAGTGATCATGCTGTCACCTGTCTTCACCTGATAATGTAAGTCTATCAACAATGGGATCTGTCCATTTCTCAGAAATGATTGATTTTTATCAGATTTATTTGGTAAGAAATGTCACCAAAAATCTGAGTTTCTGATCCAGATGGCCTAGTTGCTTCAGAGTTATATTCAGAGTACGTCTTCTATTGTAACTAGGATATAATTCTGCCTTTATTTCCAGACCTAATTAATTAATCAACCCTTTCTACTACCCTTAGCTTAAATTGTTCTGCTATCATATGTTTAATGACCACCTCATATTGTGGGGTATAAGGGTTACTTATTAACCAGTTAGTCTGTTTTTTCAGATTATAAGAGTCTTGATAGCAGGGAGTGTGTTTATTCATTTATAGTCTATAGTATGCTGATTCCTGTGAGTTGGTTTGAGGCCTATTAAGTTTAAGGCATTCTGATTATTTGAGATGGAATTGTTCTCAAGAAGTTAGCCTTTGGAGTGCTGGTTTATTCAGTGGGGCTTCTAACTCTTGATCTCAAGGTCATGAGTTCAAACCCCATATTGGGTGTAGAGATTACTTTAAAAGAAAAAAAGGTTAGGCATAGAAAGCTGGAGCTCAGGAAAACACTTAGGGCTGAGAATGTAAATTTTGTAATTGTACACATAGGGTTTTACTGTTATATTTTTCTC